TTTGCTGGAGTGGAGTGCTGGATGGAGTGCAGTGCTGGGTGGAGTGTAGTGCTGGGTGGAGTGTAGTGCTGGCTGGAATGCAGTGCTGGCTGGAGTGCAGTGCTGGCTGGAGTGCAGTGTTGGGCTGGAGTGGAGTGTTTGGCTGGAGTGCAGTGCTGTTTGGAGTGGAGTTTTGTGCTGGAGTGGAGTTTTGGCTGGAGTGAAGTGCAGGGCCGGAGTGAGTGCTGGGCCGGACTGCTGTGCTCGTTGGAGTGGAGTCCAGGGCTGAAGTGTAGTGCTGGCTGGAATGCAGTGCTGTGGTGGAGTCCAGTGATTTGGTGGAGTGCAGTTCTGGCTGGAGTGCAGTGCTGGCTGGAGTGCATTGCTGGCTGGAGTGCAGTGCTGGCTGGAGTGCCGTGCTAGGCTGAAGTGCCGTGCTAGGCTGGAGTGCTATGCTATGCTATGGAGAGCTGTGCTGTGGTGGAGTGCAGTGCTGGGCTGGAGTGGAGTGCTGGCTCTAGTGTAGTGCTGGCTGGAGTGCAGTGTTGTGGTGGTTGCAGTGCTGGATGGAGTGCAGTGATGTGGTACAGTGCAGTGCTGGCTGGAGTGCAGTGCTGGATGGAGTGCTGGGTTGGGCTGGAATGCTGTGCAGGTCTGGAGTGCAGTGGAGTGTTGGACTGGAGTGCAGTGTTTTAGTTGAATGCAGTGCTGGCTGGAGTGCAGTGTTGTGGTGGAGTGCAGTGCTGGCTGGAGTGGAGTGCTGGCTGGACTGGACCTCGGGCTGGAGTGCTGTGATGAGGTGGAGTACAGTGCTGGCTAGAGTGGAGCTCAGGCTGGAATGCAGTACAAGTCTGGAGTGCAGTGCTGTGTTGGAGTGCAGTGCTGTCTAGAGTGCAGTGCTGGTTGGAGTGGAGTGTTGTGCTCTAGTGGAATGAGGGGCTGGATTAGAGTGCTGGCTGGAGTGCAGTGCAGGGCTGGACTGGAGTGTTAGGCTGGAGTGCAGTGTTGTGGTTGAGTGCAGTGCTGGCTGGAATACAGAGGCTCCCTGGAATGGAGTGATGGGCTGGAGTGCAGTGCTGGCTGGAGTGGAGTGCTGGTTGGAGTGGAGTGCTGGGCTGGAGTGGAGTGCTGGCTTGAGTGCAGTGCTGTGGTGGAGTTCTGAGCTGGAGTGCAGTGCTTGCTGGAGTGCAGTGCTGTGGTAGAGTTCAGTGTTGTGGTGGAGTGCAGTGCTGGCTGGAGTGCAGTGCTGGTTCGAGTGGAGTGTTGTGCTCTAGTGGAGTGTCGGGCTGGAGTGCAGTGCAGGGCTGGAGTGCAGTGCTGGGCTGGAGTGGAATGTTGGGCTGGAGTGCAGTGTGTGGTTGAGTGCAGTGCTGGCTGGAGTACAGAGCTGGCTGGAGTGGAGTATTGGGCTGGAGTGGAGTGTTGGGCTGGAGTGCAGTGCTGGCTGGAGTGCAGAGCTGGCTGGAGTGGAGTGATGGGCTGGAGTGGAGTGCTGGCTGGACTGGAGCTCAGGCTGGAGTGGAGTAGTGGGCTGGAGTGCAGTGCTGGCTGGATTGGAGCGCTGTGTGATGGGGTGCTGGCTGCAGTGTGGGCTGGATGGGTTGTGGAGAGGCCATGTGGCTGGCAGCACAGGCTCTTGCCACACCCTCTGTGATCTCTCTGTGGGTGTTCTGGTGGGCAGTGGAAGAACCTTGTCTCAGGCCACAGAGGCCATTGCTTCTCAACCAGACCCATGGGACTCATAGAACCATCAACTTGAGGCCATTGTGGGGTTGGGACAAACTTCCTGGAAAAGGGGCAGGGGTTGGGCAGGAGCACTTGGACCCTCCTAACAGTGGCCCTTGAGCCTTGTGGTTCCTCTGCCAGGGTGGCCACAGCTCCCTACCCCCACTGGGCCTTCCACCTACCAGTCTCCCTCAAGGGACCTGGGGTCCCTAGCTGGCTGACTGTCACCACCATGGTGGCCACAAAGCCTCTCACCCTGGCATACTTAGGTGGGACTCCCAGCTCCCCTGTCCACTGCATAGACCATGCCTGGCCTCACTGAGCTTGCCTGCAGAGCTCCATGTGCTGGTCTGGGCCAGGTAAGGGGTGCATGCAGAAGGGTGCTGGCCGTCCTGAAGCCTGGAGCCCCTCCCCACTGCCCACCTCTCCAGGGCTTGCTGCAGACRCAGTATCATGCTGTCCTGGGCAAGCTGCTGAGCTCTCTCGACCCCATTTCCTCATCTCTGATGGGGACAGTGCACTGCTGGCCAACTCTGAGTGTTTACCTGCTGGCAGGAGAGCCAAGGGCCCCTCTCAGTCGAGGATGGGGTATAGTGGGTGGGGTCTGTCACCCCAGACCTGGAAGCTGTGGCAGAGTGCACCTGGACCTCTTACCCATGTGTGGGGCTGCCAAGGGGCCCAGTAGGGGTGACAGCTGYACCTCGTCCTTCTGCCCTCTCTGACCTACCAGGGTGGGGGCAGGTGGGGGCACAGGCAGGGTTGGGGCAGGCCAGGCTCACGTCCTTGTGGCACAGGACTCCTCCTGGGCTCCCACCTCTGCTGGGTTCCTCTGGAAGCCTGAGCCAGGTGCCTGCATGGGAAGGCAACTCTGGAGACGCTTCCCCGCAGGGAGAAGGGCGGGGGAGAGCAGGTGGGACACTACCTGGCCAGAGACAGAGGACAGGGAAAGGAGGAGCCCAGGGGGAGGCCAGAGAAGCCAGGTGTGCTCCCAGGGACTCCCAACCTCACCTGGGTCACTGTTCTGAGGCCCTGYGGAGCACCATGTGGCCAGTGCTTGGGCCCTGCCCTGCATGCTGCCAACTCCCCAGACCAGCCTTCCTGCCCAGAGTCCCACCCAGTGCCCACACATCCKCCTTCTCAGTGCAGACAGGTCCTCCTGCCGCAAGGCTGAGCCTGTCCTGGGTGCCACTGCCCCATACCCACTTGGGGGTGTCTCCCGCTTCTGTGCTGTCCCCATCTGTTCACCTGCCCCATGTCCCTGAAGTTACATCCAGGCCCCACCTCAAGGGCCTCCACACAGCATGTTCTGAGCCCCTCCCCCGTCTGAGTAGGACTGTAGCTGCTCCCCTGAGGTCACCAAACACCAGAGTCCACACTGCCCGTGGCCCCTGCTGCCCCCATGGAGAAGCCAGCCCCTAGGGCTCTACCCTGTGGCTAAGTGCCTGAGGCAGGGAGAGGAGCGTCAAGCTGTGCCAGTCCCAGCAAGTTCTGTTTGGATGCTGAAGTCCACTTCTCACAGGCCATGCTTAGAGGAGCATGGGACAGCCCCCTCCATGGGGAGGCAGTGCTGGCCACCTGCTGAACCTGGTGCCCCCTCACTGATCCCTGTCTCCTCAGGCATCCCATGACCTCAGCCCTGCCCCCTCTGCACAGCAGCTGCTGGTCCATGGCCCCACCCCTGGGGCAGCACTGAGCAGCCCTCCCCACTGCATGGGGGCCACTGAGGTATGAAGGGTGGGACAGGGCAGCGCCCGTGCACCACCCCCTCAGAGCCCAGCCCACCTGCACTGCTTCGAGGTCCACCAGAGACCCAGCCTGTCCTCCACCCAGACCCTGGGCTCCCTAGGCTTGCGCAAGAGGGCCAGGGTGTGCATGCCAGGATGTGGCAGTGCGGCTGCTGATGCCCCCTGTCCCGCAGATACCTGGTGCTAGAACACGTGTCCGGGGGGGAGCTGTTCGACTACCTGGTGAAGAAGGGGAGGCTGACCCCCAAGGAGGCCCGCAAGTTCTTCCGGCAGATCATCTCCGCGCTGGACTTCTGCCACAGTCACTCCATATGGTGCGGCCCCAGCCCGAGGCCAGTGTCCACACAGCTCCCTGGGGCACTTCCCAGGGCGCTCAGAGCCACTGTCSGGACCCCAGCACGCTGGGCCAGGATACCTCCCCTTCTCTCAGGCACGCGGGTTGGCATTGGCCACCGTTGGTCCAGCTCAGGATGGGGGTTTGAGGGAGGGCTGCAGTTGGTCAAGGGCTGCCTGTGAAGCCCAGTGGAGGGTGTGGGACCTTGGCGAGCCAAGCCCGGGCCTCCCTCCCCAGCCACAGGGACCTGAAGCCAGAGAACCTGCTGCTGGACGAGAAGAACAACATCCGGATCGCAGACTTCGGCATGGCGTCCCTGCAGGTGGGGGACAGCCTCCTGGAGACCAGCTGCGGGTGAGTGGTGCCCCTGCGTCTTTGTCTGCGGTGGGGAGGGAGACGGAGGGTAGTGGTTCTGGGCTCCAGGCCTCAGCTCCCGCAGAGCATGTGGGGATTTAGGTCGTGGGAGCCTCCTTGGGAGCCAGGGGCCCGCTGGGCATCCTCCCAGGCCCGGGCTGGAGGGGAATGTCTCTGGGTGGGGCGGGGCCTGGACGGCAGGTCGTGGCCTCTGCTCGCTGACCCACCACTTTTGTCCTCAGATCCCCCCACTATGCCTGCCCGGAGGTGATCCGGGTAAGTTCGCGCTGCAGCCGGTGGTGGAAGGGGCCGRTGGGTAGGTTGGAGCGCCTCCGCCCGGCCCGGCCTGGCCCGCGCCACCCCAGCCCTGCCCCCGCCGACCCGCTGCCCTCCGCCCGCAGGGGGAGAAGTACGACGGCCGCAAGGCGGACGTGTGGAGCTGCGGCGTGATCCTCTTCGCCCTGCTGGTGGTGAGCGCCCGCCCCGCCCCCGCCCCGCCCCGTGCCCGCGGGCCGCCGTGACCGAGCCTGCCTGCCCACAGGGGGCGCTGCCCTTCGACGACGACAACCTGCGGCAGCTGCTGGAGAAGGTCAAGCGCGGGGTGTTCCACATGCCGCACTTCATCCCGCCCGACTGCCAGAGCCTGCTGCGCGGCATGATCGAGGTGGACGCGGCGCGGCGCCTCACGGTGCGTCCTGCCCTCCCGGACCTGGCCTGGGGGCCCGCCCCTGCGCAGCCCCCGCCCCTTGCCGGTGGTCTGCTGGGCAGAGGAGGAGTCACCAGGGGGTTGGGCTCCTCAGGGTGCATGGGTGACCGCACCAGTGCTTGGGCATGTGCTCTAGGGACCAGTGATGTGCCCAGGTGTGTGGACTCTTGGGCATGTGTGCCAGGGGTGGGAGTGAGTGTGCCAGGAGTGTGTGAGCCAGCTGTGGGAGTTAGTGTGCCGGGTGCCATGTGTGGGTCAGGTGTGCCAGGTTTTGTGTGCCCAGGTGTGGGAAAGCGTGTGCCAGGGTATGTGCACAGGTGGGGGAGAGTGTGTGCCAGGGGTGGTGTGCCAGGTGTGGGTCAGGTGTGCCAGGGTTTGCGTGCCCAGGTGTGGAAGAGTGTGTGCCATGGGTGTGTGCACAGGTGTGGGAGTGAGTGTTCCAGGATTGTGTGCCAGGAGCATGTGTGCTCAGGGGTGGGAGTGAGTGTGCACAGGTGTGGGACAGCATGTGCCAGGGTTGGGTGTGCCCAGTTGTGGAAGAGTGCATGCAAGTGTGTATGCACAGGTGTGGGAGTGTGCCAGGGGTGTGCACGTTCAGGGTGTGTGTGCCAGGTGTGGTCAGTGTGTGCCAGGTGTGGGAGTGAGTGTGCCAGGTGCCATGTGTGGGTTAGTGTGTGCCGAGGTGTGCATGGTCAGGGTGTGTGTGCCAGGTGTGGGTCAGTGTGAGCCAGGGTCCTTGTGCATAGGATGGGAGAACACATGCCAGATGGGTGTGCTTCGGTGTATGAGTGTGTATCAGAGTGTGCATGTACAGATATGAGAGAGCCTGTGCAGAGATGTGTGCTTGGCTGTGTGCTCAGGTGTGGGATTATACAGAGGTGGGAGTGTGCACAGATGTGAGTGTGTCAGGGCCGTTTTGCCTAGGTGTGCGTGGGCATGCCCAAGTGCTCAGGTGGGTGGCAGGCCTGTGCCTGTGTGACAGGGAAATGCTGGTGACCACGCTGGGCATCTCCCTAACTGCTGTCCTGCCTCTGGTGTCCTGGGGAAGCCCCTGGGCAGAGTGAGGCCTTCCCCGAAGGTGGCTGCATCAGGCGAGGGGCCCTCCTGGCAGGACGGCCATTGCCATGGAGAGGAGCAAGTGCCCTCTGGGCTGGCCTTTCCAGGAGGAGGAACTGTCTCTCCCCCAAGCAAGCTGTCACTGAATCTGTGGAGAAGGGCTGTAGTGGGGCTGCCTGGCCTCCTGACCACACTGCACCAGCCTTCCCTGCCACCTGGCCCTCCTGGCTTGGGCTGCTTTCCCCCTCTGCCCTGGGGATCCAGGAGAACCTGGCCTGGGCAGTTGCCTGGAGGGCTCTGCTGGCTCCTCTACCTCCCTCCTCCCAGCCCCCTCCCCTGGTTGCACTCGGTCTGCACCTGGGGAGGCAGGGCAGAGGTGCTGGCCTGGGCCCCGCCCTGCCTCCCGGCTCCTGCTCTCCCTGCCTCCTAACGTGGGCGCCCCCGTACTAACTCCCTTTCTCTCTTTCCTTGTAGCTAGAGCACATTCAGAAACACATATGGTATATGTAAGTAGCTTCTCTGACCACTAACGCCYGCTTTGCCTGTTGCTGTGGCCTGGAGGGCCTGTGAGGAGGGGGGAGGGCACTGGCCAGCGTGGGCTGCCCCAGCCTTGCTGTCAGCTGTCCTGTGCTGGTGTGGCAGGACGCAGGAGGCCTGCAGGGGCTGGTCATAGAGACAGCAACAGGACTCAGGGGCCCAGATGAGGGTGGGCCTCCCACCCTCCTGGCCACCTTAGGGTGGGTGGAGTAGCCTCAGGCTAGCTGGAGTGAGTGACCCCTGGTGCTGTGTTGTCCACAGAGGAGGCAAAAATGAGCCTGAGCCAGAGCAGCCCATCCCCCGAAAGGTGCAGATCCGTTCACTGCCCAGCCTGGAGGACATYGACCCCGACGTGCTGGACAGCATGCACTCCCTGGGCTGCTTCCGAGACCGCAACAAGCTGCTGCAGGACCTGCTCTCTGAGGAGTATGTCCTGGGTGGGCAGGAGGGGCTGGCTTGGCCATGGGCTCCACACTCCAGCTCTGGCAGTCTTGGGGAAGGCGGCCAGAGGCAGAGTCCTCCTGGACCACGGGCAGGCACACTGTCCAGGAGTGTTTGGGAGCCAACCCTCCTGGTGCCTCTCGCCTAAAACAGGGAGAACCAGGAAAAGATGATTTATTTCCTCCTCCTGGACCGGAAAGAACGGTACCCCAGCCATGAGGACGAGGACCTACCCCCCAGGAATGAGATAGGTATGAGGCCTCCAGCCCATGCTGAGTCCTGGGGCCTGCTGGCAGCCAGGGCTGACCCCTGTCTGCACACAGACCCTCCCCGGAAGCGTGTGGACTCCCCGATGTTGAACCGGCACGGCAAGCGGCGGCCCGAGCGCAAGTCCATGGAGGTGCTCAGCGTGACAGATGGCGGCTCCCCGGTGCCTGCGCGGCGAGCCATTGAGATGGCCCAGCATGGCCAGAGGTGCGTGCCTGCCCTAGGGTGCCACACCAAGGCAGCACCCTCCTAGGCTGCTCTAGACCTGGCCTCGTCTCTTCCCACTGGTCCTGAGATCTGGGCCAAGGCCACTGGCTGATCAGAACTGCACGGTGCTGGGGTTGCTAGCAGGACCGCACAGGCTGAGCTGGACTGAAATGGACTAGGCTATGCTGGGCTGAGCTAGGCTGAGCTGAGCTGGACTCAGCTTGGCTGAGGGGCTGGGCTGAGCTGAGCTGGGTGGGCTTCACTGGGCTGAGCTGTGCTAGGCTGGACTGGACTAAGCTGTGCTGGACTGATCTGAACTGGGCTGAGATGGGCTCAGCTGAACTGGGCTGGACCAGGCAGAGCTGAGCTGGGCTGGGCTGACTTGGCTGACTGAGCTGGGTTGATTTGAAGTGGGCTAAGCTGGACTGGGCTGGGCTAAGCTGAGCAGAGGAGAGCAGGGCTGGGCTAAGCTGGGCTGAGCAGAGCAGAGCTGGGCTGAGCTGGGCTGAGCAGAGTAGGACTGGGCTGAGCAGGGCTGAACTGGGCTGAGCAGAGCAGGGCTGGGCTGGGCTGGGCTGAGCAG